TTTGTGTTTGTGTGCGTGTGCGTGTTTTTGTAAGACCTGGAATTAGTTTTTTTTTCATTTTAATTTTTTTTATAGAAATGCCTCATATATTTCGCAAATATAGAAGTGATGATAAAATGTCATCCTACAAAATTGCATATTATTAATATATTGTCAGCAAGAGACTATATGCTGACATGTAATGTGCAGTCGAAGAGATTTCCCGCCAAATCTTCCTCAATTGGCAAGCGACTTGCCGTTTCTCCGTCGGTTAATGAATATTCGGAAATCTAGTTTATTAATCTTATTAGTTAATTAGTGCTAAAACGAGGCGTGTTGTTTTGTGCTCAGTAGCCCACTCATAACAGTTGTACGTGAGCGCGGGCAGCATATGGCGCTTGCGTCCATCAATGTGTTCAATCCCAAACACAAAGATTAATCTCGATGAGTCATAGATTTATAAATCGCTGGCTTCCGTCCACCATGACAGGCATTAGAGCCTTTTCTGAATATGGTAAATGGCCCTAATTAGATTTTGGAGCTTATTAGTTATTTATTTCATGATTATAGCCTATTATAGGCAACTGTATGCCATAAGCCGTATTGTAAGAAGGACAGCTGCATTGCTTCACTCTCTAACTGTACTAAAACGTATGTATAAGTATGATGCAAAAAGTGTGTTAGATTTGTTTTTATAAACTGAAATACAGTAAATGACAGTGGGAGCTGTAGGATCTGTAATTGTTGTCCCTTCATTGTTTGCACAGTTTGTTTTGTTGAAGACTCACATCCGTATCCTCCGGTGATAATCCCGTCTCTGTCTAATTTGCTTTGCTCAGTGATCTGTGTGTAGTTTATCAAGGCAACGACTTCACCGGTGCTCAGCTTTGATTTAAGACAGAAAGCTGCACTATACTAAGAATTGTACGTGTTTTCAGTAGAAAAGTTCATAGGAGGCATAGCAGGTCCAGGTTTCAATCGATAAGAAATGTGATTTGGTTTAAACTATATTTTGTCTTATTTTCTAATTGTTGTCCCTTCATTGTTTGCACAGTTTGTTTTGTTGAAGACTCACATCCGTATCCTCCGGTGATAATCCCGTCTCTGTCTAATTTGCTTTGCTCAGTGATCTGTGTGTAGTTTATCAAGGCAACGACTTCACCGGTGCTCAGCTTTGATTTAAGACAGAAAGCTGCACTATACTAAGAATTGTGCGTGTTTTCAGTAGAAAAGTTCATAGGAGGCATAGCAGGTCCAGGTTTCAATTGATAAGAAATGTGATTTGATTTAAACTATATTTTGTCTTATTTTCAAGAAATGTTATTTAAGGAAAATTGTTCCTATTTTTATATTGATTAAGTTTGTTTTTTTTTGCATTTTATTATTGTTGCAGTTTTATTATTTTAAGGGAGATTAAGCACATCCTTTGCCATTTTCATTACTGTAATGCTGTAAAGCTTTGCTATTAATATAATGTGATAATATATATAATGCTGAAATTGTACTGTAATTGTAAATATTATAATATTAGTTTATTGCCTTTCATTTATTCTGCCTTTATTGCATTATAAATTACAGTAATAGTAAACATTCTAATACAGTAAATCAAATACATATTCCTAGAATCTAATTAGAATCATCAGTGAGATTATTGATAATTACAAAAACAAACAAACAAGGTAATGAGAGTTTTGGGGGATATCAGCTTAACTGGCATGAAAATAATAGCATAATGCAAATAAATAAATGAATTAGTAAATA